CCTCCCGGCCACACACACACACACACACCTCACCTGCCATTTGTCTCTGGATCTATTTTTGTTCAGTCACTATTCTTAAAAACCTTCAGTGGATTCCCATTTGTGTTATGTAAAAATTCAAGCATTGACCAATAAATATGATTTTAAAATTCTAATCTGGGGAGTTTATGAAATGCAGATGTGTGGACCAGAATGTCCTAATGTAGGACCTTTAATCAGCATTAAAAACAAAAGTTTCTAGGCGCTTCTGATACAATTGGTCATTGGATCAGTAGAGTCATTAGAATAAAGTACACATTTCTCAACCCAGTATTTCTCTCCAAAGTACTTTTCCAGCCCCACCTCTTACTACGACTTCTCTACATAGAGCAAATAAAGTTCTTGCTGGCTTTCTGAGATCTCCTCATACCTTCCAGACACACCTTTAAACCTCTGGGCCCAGTCTATGAATCCTTCACACCTGCAAGCGATCTCTGGGCTTGATGCTCTGGACTGGCTTACAGCCACAGTCTACCTTATCTCTCTTTTTTACATTCTACCCTATCGCTTACTTTGGGTTTCTTTAGCTTTCTCTCCCTATTCCCAACCTCCCAGCTTGTAAGATAGCTGTCCACAGAAACCTAGTTAGTCCTTTCTTATTTTTCTTTTTATATGTTATATTAATTATATTATATTAATTATTTTTAATTTAATTTAATTTTATCCTTCCTTATTTTTCGAACTTGGTGAGCCTTTTGAATTTTGTGGCAAGGGTCTTAAACAAGAACTTGTAGGATTAGGGCCAGTGCCTGACTAGATCACCGTTGCATATGCAGTCGTTACTTGTTGCTGGTGTAAAGTGTGGCTTTCCACGCGTATTTGTGGACTTAATGTGTATATGAGCGGAATCCTGCCTAGCATCGCCCAGAGAACTACGAATCCCAGAGGGTATTGCGTGGAACGTCGGCGGACGCGGTGACGCAAGGGGGCGTGTCTAGCCTGAGGGAGGGGTCGTCCTGCGGGCAGCCGGAGACTGAGGGGGCTCGGGAACCTGGGGTGAGAGTGGGAGCGTCAGGTGAGTGGAGCTGAAGGGGGAGGACACGCTGCGGGGCGCCCCAGTCTATGGAGCGGGGTAAGATGGCGGAGGCGGAGAGCCTGGAGACAGCGGCGGAGCACGAGCGGATCCTGCGAGAGATCGAGAGCACCGACACGGCCTGCATCGGGCCCACGCTCAGGTACCCAGGGGCCCGGGCTACCCACGGGGGCACGAGCGGGACAGGGGGCCGGGCTCCTTCGGGGCCATGGGTCTGCCCAGCCGTCGCAGGGTCAGCGCCGGCCCCTCCCTTCGGAGAGCCGGGCGAGCCTCCTCCACCCTTGGCGGGGCGGGTCTCCCTCGGGAGCCCCGACGTGGGGTCCCTTCCCGGTCGCCGCCTTCCACAGCCCAGGTACCCCGGAGGCACCCTGCCTCCCTTCGGGCCGCGGCAACTTTCCTTCTCCCTCCGAGGCTGGCCCGCGCCCGGCAACCGGAACGCGCCGGACGGATGGTGGCTTTCCCACCTCTTCCCCCGAGGACATCTCCCCTCTCCCTCCGACTCGAACCCCATTCCGCTCTGCAGACAAAATAGAATTTCACCCCATGGTCTGTTGCTTGGAAATTAAACTCTTGCCTCCTTACAATCACAACCCCTTCTCAGAAATGAGTTCCTGAAAATCCTGGGCCAGGAAGGAAGTTTCCCTCGACCCGCGCCCCTCTCCTGGGAGCGGGTGCTCCCTTAACCCTGTCAGCAGGCCGACCTCTCCCCAGGGTGCCGCCTGTGGCGGTCTCATCGCCGAGAAAAAAGTTACAATGATCTCCCCCTGACCATTACTTTGCCCCCCACACCTCCATTTTATTTGGAGGTGTCAAAAGAAACCCCCACTTCCCTCGATTTATTTAACTAAAGTTAGGTGTCACTTATATAGATAGTGCAAGACATTGTGTTAAGCAATTTACAAATACAACTTCTTAAACCGGAACACATTCCCGTTAGGTATTATTATTATTACCTTCATTTTACGGGTGAGGCACAAAGAAGTTAAGGGACTTATTTGCCCAACAGTGTTATGGAGACAATAAAGTGGGGGAGCTGAGATTCCTGGTCAGGCCGTCAGGATCTAGAGTCTGCATTCCTCCCCTCTGTTGTCCTGCCTCCACTGGGGGGTTACCATTCACCTGACCTTGTTAATTACTTGCCAAGCCCAATTTGGAGCGACCTGTCCCTTTCCCCCCAGGTTCCTAGTGCCCTAGAACTAACTCCTCTTCATCCTTCCTCTGGCCCTTTCAGATCTCCATGTCGCCAGTATTTAGGTAACTGTCGTATCCACCTTGTACTGTCTTGGGTCACTGCTTCTCCCTTCAAAAATGAGTTATTACTCACCGCTTGTTTGTTTTTTGTTTTTTTTAAATGGGGATATTGCCTTTCGAAAGACTATTTGCAGGAGGGGCAGACTGGGGACTTTACTCACCTCCGTCTGCACAGCTTCCTTCTCCAGGGCACGTTGTTAGCACAGCTCTCCAAGGGCTATCCTTGAACATGACCGTTCATTGTGATCATGATGCTTTTCTCTCTATTCATTTTCTTTAAGTCTTTGAGTAAATGATCCTCATTCATTATCGTTTACAAGAACCAAAGGTTACTTACTAGTATTATAAATGCATTATTAATGGTTATTACTATTTGGTTTTCACAAAACTAGATGTTGTTAGAGTTACTGAGGATGCTGTTTCAGTATGCTGCTAAGAAATTTGGCTGCTGAGCTGCAGTAGGCAGCCAAGCAAAGCTCCCACTGGAGCAGTTGGGATTACCAGAGTTTTTAGGAAGAATTCTTTCTCAGACACCATCAGTGTTGTCTTGAGTTGGTTGTGGTTTTCCGTTGCTGTAGTTCTTGGCTTATATGATAAACGACTTCAACTGATCAGTTTGGTTTGTTGTGATTTATAATGTTAACCCTCCACTGAATAGTAATGCATATTTGTATCAACTGAATATTGGCCTGTAATTTTCTAGTATCTTTTAAAAAAAATATATAGTTTTATTGATTTCAGAGAGGAAGGGAGAGGGAGAGAGAGATAGAAACATCAACGATGAGAGAGAACCATTGATTGGCTGCCTCCTGCTGGGGATCCAGCCCCCAACCTGGGCATGTGCTCTTGACCAGAATAGAACCCAGGACTCTTCAGTCCCCCAGACCGACTCTCTATCCACTGAGCCAAATTGGTTAGAGTCTTTAGTATCTTGACATAAGAATATATGAATTATGGTTCAAATACAAGTTACCCATTCTTCCTAAAATTTGCTTCATTGTGCCTGGCCAGCATGGCTCAGTGGTTGAGCCTATAAACCAGGAGGTCACGGTTTGATTCCTGGTCAGGGCATATGCCCAGGTTGCAGGTTCGATCCCCTTGGGGCATGAAGGAGGCAGCCGATCAGTGATTTTCTCATTGTTGATGTTTTGTTTTCTCTCTCCCCCTCTCCCTTACTCTCTGAAATCAATTAAAAAAAACCATATATATATATATATATATATATATATATATATGTATGTATAAAACTTACTTCATTGTTATCACTGAGTTATTTTCTCACTGTAAAGTGGGGTTTTATGGGGTTAGATGAATTAAGGGATCTTTTGCCCTAAGTGGACATGGTAAAAAAAAAAAAAAAGGGTTTGAGAACCTCTGCATTATCCTATCAGTTCTAATTGCTTTTCCTAACTCCCTGTATCATTATTAGGGGCTTTTCATTTTTGGCCTTATCCTGTCGTTGGCAGATAACCCTAAATCTTACTGTCAGACCCAAGATTCAATCACTTGAACATCTAAAAATACAAGTAGTACGCACTGTCTTTGTCTTTAGTCTAGCTTGCCTCTGCCCATATTCATAGGGGCTGATCTCACCTTTTTTCGTTTTCCCATTCAGAGACAGTAGCATGCACAGACTTGATGCATGCTTTTCCTTGGATGCACCCCCATCATCATTATATCCTGCTTTCTCATCACAATCATCAGCCAGGATTGATTAAGGCAGTAGGCTTTCTTTCCTAACTTTACCCTTAACTGTCTATCTCAAACTCCTCTACCCTTCTTCTTAATTTTTTCTCTTCCTCCCATCTTTTGAGATAGCCCTTTTTAGGCACCAGATTCTTAGCTATTCCTGAGTTAGGTATTGTAACTGAAGAGGAATGAAAGAACAGAAACAATAAATTGATAGCAGACATAAGATTAGTATGTCTATCCCTAAAATTCCTGTTCTTTACAAAAATCCACCTAGCTATATTTGCCTAACCAGACAGACTCTTTCTTTTGCCAGCTATTACTTGTGAATCATTACTTGCTTTCTTTCCCTTGTATACCAAATTATTCTTCCAGTCATTCCTTTTTGTTTAAAGAGTCACAGTAGCTTGACTTTTTCATTATATAATTCCTTATGTTAATATTGAGTAATCATGCAATGTTAGTCAGTTCCACATATCATAAGGGAGTGCCTTTCCTTTTTTATTGTAATTCTTAAAGGCCCAAGCATATATGCATATAGAGGCTTTTGCCTAGTAAATCCTTTTGGGAAAGCAGCCATCTCTTTCTTCATCTTAAATATTATTTTGTTAGTTGCAAGCCTTGATTTTGCAGATGAGGAAAGACGCTCATAAGATACTGGGTCCTGTCTTGTTTTTAAAATAATATTGATCCCAGCTTTGTAGCACTAATGCTAAAATATTGATTGCAAATCACTCATGTACAATAGCTCTATATTCCCATCTCTGTATTTCTAGTTTTCTCTCATATCACTTATTCAGTAGGCCATTTCCTTAATTTGCTCTGTGGATACTAGCAGTTAACATTCATTCTTAATTGCTATTTCAGATTTTGTTTTTAAATTTAAAAAATAAATTTATTGAGGTAACATTGGTTAATAACATAAATTTCAGATATACAACATTATAACTTGATGTCTGTATACTCTATTGTGTGCTTACCACCCAAAGCCTAGTTTCCTTCCAATACCATATAACTTTTAAGTTTAACAGTAAAATACAATACCTTTAAAAATAGCTTTATTGAGATGCAATTCATATACCATATAGTTCACTCATTTAAAGTGTACAATTCATTGGTTTTACAGTTGTGCAAAAGTCACCATAATCTAATTTTGGAACATTTCCATCACTCCAGAAAGAAATCCTATACCTATTAGCAGTCATTTTACATTCTGTCTCCCCTCCCTCCCCAGTCAATCACTACTTTCTGTATTTATGAGTTTGCATATTCTGGACATTGAGGATAATAAAGATAGATATTTTGGTTCTTTATATCATCGCAGTTGATAGTTTGCAGTATCTGTTAATCATGTAATGATTGATTTAATCACATATCAAAATCAAGCTTTCAGCTGAAAGCAACTTAGAGAGATAGAATTAGTGAGTGGCTTATCTATGAAATGTGTGAATCTGGGTTGGGAAGCTGAGCAATGATGACATTTCAAATTTGCTTGCGGGGCGGGGGAGTAGGGGGAGAAGCAAAAATACTGAGGGGGAGGAGTTAGTAGAAATTGAGTTACACACACATACCTGAGCTTAAACATTTTGAGACCAAAGGTGTTTAATAGGTCGTTTCTTGTGTCTGCTCTTGCTGTGGGAAAGAAGAGTAAAGCCATTTTTGCAATGTGGTAGTATCTGCTGTAGTATTTCGAAAACAAGGGAGACAGTTACTTAAAGACCAACTGATGTTGCATGGACTTGGTTCCAATATTTGAATTAAGGAACGTTCAGCTAAGAAATAAGTAACAATAATGGGAAATTTAAATATTTTGGCTATTTTACTTATTGATTTTGAGAGAGAGAGAGAGAGAGAGAGAGAGAGAGAGAGAGAGAGAGAGAGATATTTGTTCCACTTATTTATGCATTCATTGGTTGGTTCTTGTATGTGCCCTAACCTTGGTGTATGGGGATGATGCTGTAACCAACTGAGCTTCTAGGCCAGGCTATTTTGGCTATTTATTTATTTAATATATTTTTATTGATTTCAGAGAGGAAGGGAGAGGGAGAGAGAGATAGAAACATCAATGATGAGACAGAATCATTGATTGGCTGCCTCCTGCACACTCCACAGGGGATCGAACCCATAACCCGGGCATATGCCCTGACCAAACTGTGAGTCATAGGTTGACAGTCAACCACTGATCCATGCCAACCAGGCAAG